ACTTTGTGAAATATACATTTTTTTAAGTTCTTTCAAATTCTTCCAAGTTCTTTCATGTTACAATATTAAATATTTTTACAATAATTGTATATATTATAAAAGTATAATTTCCTTCAATATAGTATTATAAGTAATTATAATATGCAAATTACTATATTAATAAATATAAACATACGTACAAAGTAGTATGTTATTAAATTAAATTATAATTAACTTAGAATTATATACTTTTATAAAAATTCTTTATAATTAGTGGTCTTCCACGCCACCCATGAGGTGCCACTGATAGCGCGTTAGGTTTTTTACGTGGACCTTCGCCTATAGCCCTATTCTACCACATTTTATTGCACATCTATTCTTATATAAACATGTGATCATTTATTTCTAGATATTTAATAGAAAGTATGCTTTAATCGAATTAGTGCAGTTTTGCAAGCGAAAGGATTGTGGACAAAGTATTAAGAATAAAGAACGCAATAAATACTGCCGAATATTGAACGTGGTGCAAAACCGAGTCAATCTCTTTTTGTTGCTATTAATAAATAAAAAGACATTAATTGTTGAAACACTTTTTTATGTTATTTCTAACTGTGACACAAATATATGTAATGTTTATTTTTTATATTCTTTAGTTCTTAACTTAATAAATAATCATTTATACAAAACTTGTGGTTATTGGGTCACACACACACACAATTCTGCTCTTTATTATATTTTAATAATTATAAATATTTTTAATAATTGTAATGCCACGACTTCCTCTTCTTCCTCTTCCTCCTCTTCTTTCTCTTCCTCCTCTTCCTCTTCTTCCTCCTCTTCCTCCTCTCTCGTTTCGTACGCTCGTACTGGCATACGGAGTGCCTTGGGCATTCCGTTGTCGATACCAGCGGGCTCTGCTCTGGCCAGCTCCTCTTTTTTTTTTTCTAAGAAAAAGATTAATACAATTATTAATAACTACAAAGTTACAATTATTGTATTTATTACCGAATAATGTGTTATATTAAATAAATAACTTACTTGTTACATTTGGTTGCACCTCTTGCTGCTGTTGCTTTTGTTGTTGTTGTTGCTGTTCCTGTTTTCCCAGCTGTGCCAATTGCTGCTGCATTTGCAATTGACTTTGTTCGTAATTTTGCAGCCGTTGTTGCTGCTCCTGCAGCAGTTGCTGCTGCTGCTGCAGCTGTTGCTGTTGTTGCTGCAAAATTGTTTGCAGCATTTCTTGCGTTGTCTGTTCTGTAAATACAAAAGAAATATGTTGGTAATTGTTTTTAACTCGCTTTTTCTTTGGACTTTATATATTCATATCAACTTACTCGATATTATGTATAATCTTAAAATTTACCTCGAGTTGATTCTTTACTTCTTTTGTAATTTCACGATCTTATTTATTTATAATTAATAATGTGATTTATTACTTACGGAAATTATCTTCCATCGCTGCTGCTCGCTGCTCTCTATTTGCCATAGAAATGACAAGCGAGAAACAATGTAGAGTCGCGTACGTTTCGCTGCTTTGAAAGCTATGCGCTGCATATATTTATTAACGTTTCGTAAATTTTGTGTATGCTGCGTGTATATTTTATTGTGTGGTGAAGTCTTCAGCATATTTTCATTTATATATTTTATGTATTCCTTAATATATAAAATATATTTCATATATTATTTGATNTATATATATTTGATCAAATCTGTGTAATACGTGAATAAACGTAACAAACGTGATAATACAGTGTGACGTGATATTTTTGCGAATAAACGTATCTTTCATACGTTTTCTTAACCGGTTAACTGGCAATGTATCATATATGCACAAACAAAAATCTGGCCAATTC